CAATCAGAGAGCTTTAATACAATCATCCAATCAGGAGACAGAGTCAGGATCTGACCCTAATTTAAACTGATTGGCGCGGCTCGATGAATCAATTGCCGCTTTCAACCAGAGGTTTATTTTAAACCTCTGGAACCAGGGTAGGCCTAGGCCTACCTTCGGACTAGGATTTTTGTAGTGTAAACGCACTTCGGCCTGGCCTAGGCCAGGAAATCTGGGCCCATCAAAACAGGTGGTCCAGATTCCCTGGCCTAGGCCAGGCCGAAGTGCGTTTACACTACAAAAATCACGTCCAAAGGTAGGCCCAGGCCAGGCCTAGGCGCATATTTTCTTACTCTGATATAATTAAACTATTGGTTGGCATCAAGCTTAAGGTTGGAAAAGTCAGAAAATGTTCATTCGTTCCTTGTAGTATACATAGTCTAGCTTGTATTTGGAGACAAATAAATTGAGCGAGGCCCGTTTCGGACGGCGTACTTCTCATGTGCCGAACTTAATTGATGAATTAGGTACGGCAGAAGAGCGACATATGAATCAATTAAGTACGGCAGAATTTGGAGCGGCAAAAGTTCGACACAAGTTCGGCAGAGCTTGTCGCATTATGCGACGTTGGAGCGACATTGATTCATGGTGATCGCTAGATAGTATACTTCAAAATAAGGTTTCCGTTTTTATAACGTAGAAAAAACTATCCTAACACAAAACTAAACCCTAACCCTAATACTAACCCTCGTCCTAATCCTATTCTAACCCTAACCTAAACCCCTTCCTAACCCTAACTTATTTTAAAAATTGATATAAAAACGGAAACCTTATTTTGAAGTATACTATCTAGCAATTGCCATTGATTCATACGCCGCTCCACTCATGTGCCAAACTTAATTCAACTTTAGTCTAAAAATAAACTTATTTATTTTGAATTTTATTGAGGTTTCGCTGGCGAATGCGCCCCAACCTTTCAATAACATTGTATTTGGTACGCCGTTTGAATCACTGCCGTTCTTGTGTCGCATCTAATACAATTAAGTTCGGCACATGAAGAGTACGCCGTCTGAAACGGGCCTGATGTGTCCGGAATTTTCTTGCTCTTGACCTACTTAAGCTAATATAATAAGGTTAAATGACTTGTCATGTTTGCCAGCAAAAACAGTATTAAATGAATTGTCATGCCACAATAAATATAAGATTCTAGGAAAGGTGTCATCCTAAATCCATGCGGATTATATTTCTCGGACATGCACTACTTCAAAATCTACGTAGTAATCCTTAAAATAGTTCCTCTCTTATAAATATAAGTCTTATAATGGACAACTTGCATGTTAGACTAAATTTTAATCTATAAAGTAAAGAGAAGGGAATCAAACACTACAGCTAAAAGGAACATAATGAAATTAGTAAAATAGCAAAATTTGGTTGTGAAATGTTGCAAAACTTGGCCGAAAATATAGTCTTGCAAAGTTTGTAAATTTTGTATATGTTTGTTTTATTACGTACGGAAATTGTTACCATTTTCCGCTCAAAAATGGTAATAATTTCCGCACGTAATACAAACATATACAAAATATGCAAACTTCGCAAGGCTATATTTTCCGTATTTTACAACGTTTCGTAACCAAATTTTGCAATTTTACTAATTTTAATAAGTTCTTCAGAACGGGAATTTACTTTTTTGCCTAGATCAAAAATTAGTCTAACATGCAAGTTGTCCATTGTTATTCAATAACACATCTATAACGGCCGACAAAACAATAGTCCACTCCGAAAACTCGGTATAGACTATACTATAGTTTTGAAAATTTCCGTGCTGTATAAAACTCGGTGGTTGCTTGTATATTACTGAAAACATATAAATTCGCGTTTTTTCTGGAGTCTTAGTCGAAAAACAGAGCAAAGGTCAAAAAGACAATTCTAATCCCGATATTTGCAAAAATAATCGCTTTACACAGTAAACTTTTTTGCAATATTATGTTAAAGTTTTGTCTATTAAAAAGATCAAAGACAAAGTTCGACTAAATCGCTTTGTTGTCGGGACCACTCAGTCTTAGACTCAAGTGTAACTCCAAAGTCGATACTGTTTTTATACTTATCAACGTTTCGAGTACGTACATTTCAGCATGGATAATAAAATAAATTTTAGTATCCATGATTTCAGTCATCATCAGGATAAAACACTATCCTGATGATGACTGAAGTTTATAGTCGAAAGTAGATAAATATAAAAATGTTATCGATTCTTTGGAGTTACACTTGTTTCGTATTCGAAGTATGAATCTTGTGTTTCCAAAAAAACTTGTCTTTTTTCGCACACAATAGATCGCAAACAATAGATGAGAATTTTTGAGAACTTGAATTGTTCCTAATTGCAGCCAGAGTGCATATATAATGTTTGTAAACAACGGGATAATTACAGGATATGGTAATTGTATGACCTTGGAACTTTTGTTGATCAAAAGTTATACAATGTAGTCAAATTATGGGATTTACCAGAAGTTTGAATTTACGGGGTATAGATTTTATTTGGATAAAAAATACAAGGACTACAAGGGAGGTGATTACTTTTTGAGGGTGAAATTTGGACTTATTGTTCGAAATTTGGTTGAAATCGCTGGACCAATGAGAGGGCGGGCAACCGAAACAAACTGTCAATCAAGCTATCCTTCTCGCCTCTACCATGTCCCCCAATGATCAAGCGTAACAGCACTGCTATACGAGTCAGATCGAGCTAGAAAACCGTGAAAATCTGCATCAAGGTCACCGGTTTCGATTCATGTCGAATCTACTGTAGACAATCTATGTTCCTGGCCGCATGAGGGGATAAAATTCGATCGAAATTTCGCATTCGCTGTGGAATGGACAGCACCTCTATCATTACACAAGTCAGCCGCGACGACGAAACATTAAATATAAATACGCATCGCGTTGAGCATGTACAAGGTGAGGGTTTTAATATAGAATACGAAGTATAGTGTACTGGGGTTGTATGCATTTAATTCCCTTGGGAATATATTATGCGAATGTTGCGAAGGGCTTTATACGATATATTCTATGTACATTGTTTTGTTGATAGTCGGCGATCGTAAGATCAAAATTGTCACTGATTAATGTTTAGCCCGTGGCTGTTCATTTACTGCGAAAGCCTGTTCATAATGTACGATTTATCAGGTAGAGTTAGCCAGGTCTAGGCCAGGGAGATATATCATATTCAAAGAATATAAATCTCTGTGTTCGCTATTATTTAGCGTTTATCTATCTTGTGTACTGATTTTTAATTCTCGTTTCAAGTGTCGCGGAAGTCGACTACAAAGAAACGACGTCGCCGTGGTTTCCTATCATCGTTATTTTGCTGCTTTGGTAGCAGAAGTCACAACTTAAACCAGGACATAAAAAGCAATGGGTCTACATTGACAAGTCACGAAACGCAGCCGGCAGTTCCCAGCGCGGAAGAGAAAGAAAACAAGGTGACGCCGGAATAACTTTAGATTTTTCAATTTACATTTCGATTCAAATTTAATGATTTTTACCAGGTGCTTGACAAAACACACATGTGTCAGTTGCACGGTGTCTTGTTCATTTAAATTCCTAGCATAAACCGTGAGGTTTTGCCATTACCTGTTGGAAAAAAGCCTGCACGAAACAATCATTTAGTTATAGGTTGTCAATGCAAATCGCGCCAAGCGTGCTGTATTCGATTTCAAGCAAGCGCTAGCAAGGCGCCTTTGTCGAGAAAAAAATGGTCTTGTCAATGTATAAACGCAAACTTGTGCTACTTTTCGGCTACAAAAGCTCCGAAATTAGCGTCGACATATAGTAAATAGTTTATAGTTTATACGAGAGTATAGGGTTTTCATTAAAATCTTGAATTCACAGGGGTTATATTAGATTTTCAGTGCGTATGTATATGTAATTGAAATATACAAAGTTGTCAATTTCATATTATGCACTGGAATATATTGGAAATGTTCGATCAATTTTAGCTTGAAATGAATCATTTGTTTCGGCTTTAGATGTTACTTTGATGTTTTGAGACTTTTGACGGCATATATAGTAACTGCGTGCGAAATATCGGCTTTTTAATATAAATATCAACGCTGTTTCGAGTAGTTGTTTTCTTAATAATCCAAGCGATTAAAGTCTTTACACTGTTGTTGACATTTTTTGGTAGAATTATCGCTTAGAAATTCATCCTATCGCTTGCACGAATGAAAAGAATTTTCCCTCATGAAACTGTGCCAAAAACAATTTACATTTGTAAAGAGCTTTTGAATTTAAATTCATCAACTGTCTGCCCCAAACGTTCCTCTAAAAGGAATGCGTTGTCGTCGCGGTTTGAATTGAAACTTCGAGTGTATAAAGTTGCAAACGAATTTGCTTAAAATCGCAAGCAATTTCCGTTCAAAATATTGCTAATTTCACACAAATTTGTTCCCGCAAATAGTTTATTTTCATAGCGGTATATTAAGCACTTTATTTACGTATATTATGCTTGCTTAAAACAAGGTGAAATCGCTTTTATTTGATGTTTTTATCAGCAAATTTGATAGACATACTCGTAGCATGATTATATTTGAATATTTTATTCTATTTTGTATTAACCACGAAAAGTTATCGGTTTGGATGTAAAACATTTTAGTTTCATATTAAATGCGGCCGACAAGTAATAAAGAATTCTAAACGGAAATAATTTTTATATCTGATGCAAATTGCATACCAAAATACAATTAAGAATTTAAGAGCCCACACGTGTTTGTGAAGAGTCTCAAATTAGAATGCTGCTAATATTCTAATGTAAAATACCCAAATAATGTTCCACATAAAATCGGTTTTATTATAAACCAGATTTATTCAGCAAAAATAGGTGTTTTGGCCAGTGTTTTATGAAATTCTTCAATAGATTTAGCCATTTAGGGCAGTATAAATCCATTAAGTCCAACATATGCAAGAAAATTTAGTAATTTACAATGCTTTACAACAATATAGCATTATCTGCCTACATAGACGGCCCATTATTGTAAATACGATAGATAAAAGTTTATTTAATGAGGGTACAAGCCTGGTCAGCATAAGCTAATCTTGTCTAAATAGAGGATTCAGCAAATAGATATTTTCTATCTCGGAAATTTAAATACAACTTGATAATTCTCTGCAATTTCCCTTGGTGTTCAAACTCTTCTCTCACAGTAAATACCCAAAATACTTAGAGTGTCTGATAAATGACTGAAACGCTAAAAGCCTGTTCACGGTTTGTAGCTTGGCGGTTAGAGTCCACTGTAAACTCAGGTCTGGGGGTTTGATTCCTGCCCAATGGCCTCAGAGATGCCCCTGGTCAGGTCTGTGGCCTCAGAGATGCCCCTGGCCATGTTGTTTCAGATGTAGAATTTCTGATGCAGAATTCTGTTGTAGAATTTCCATACACAGAGGCTGTCAGCATTAAAATATATACACACAGCAGGGCTCAAAATACTGGTAAAAAGAAAATATGACTGGGCAGGTCAAATGCATGGTGGCATGCAATTTATATTTTTGAACTGTCAGAATTAAGTCTCACAAGGCTGTGAAAAAATGAATGTTAATTTTCTCAATGCATTTTGATAATTTATGTATATTTCCTTACTCGTTATTAACACTAAAAATTAGTATGCAGCAAGCATATGAAATGACACATCATTCTTCCATTTCTCACTTTTGGCCCAGTTAAAAAGCGAGCCAAGCTTTCCTCCCTGAACAAACCCATTACATTTTTTGTAGGGAAATCATCTTTTACCGAATCCAAGACAAGATCATATACACAAGAAATGTGTAGTAGTTGATTTAGATGAAACACTCGTACACAGTTCGTTTAAGGTATTTTATAAGTACATTTTTTAAATGAACATTTTAACTTGTTATCTTTGATGTCTAACATGTTCCCCTTGAAGAGTAGAACCATCTGGCAATAAGTGTTTTATAACAAGTGTTTTATGTGGCATTAGTTTTATTTGTCAATTGCACGTGTGTGTTTTTACAACAAATGTTCCATGACAAATTCACAATAGCTACTCTATATAGCATGCTCCACCGCATGCACATGCTAAAACTACTTTGTCAAATGTTCTTAATTTGTTGACCCATACACACAAGAAAAATTGCTATTTTTGCTATATACTATGCTATTTTTTTCTATAACAAGTGCACTTGTTCTAAAGCTAGTATGCACTTAGCGTACTTGTCGTAGAAAAACATGCTAGTGTTCAACAAGCGTAATTGATGATTCCAGCGATATAGTAAATTTTGATCTAGGCAAGAACGACGAAATCCGTTACCACAGCTAGAAAAATTAGTAAAAGTACAAAGTTTGGTTTGTAAAATGTTGTAAAATGAGGAAGATATACCCCTGTGAAATTTTCAAATTTTGTATTATTTTTTGTATTACGCAAGGGAAAATGCACCACATCTGGGCCAAAAGTGGTGCATTTCGCTAATTTTAAGATGCTCTTTCTAGCTGTGGTGATGGATTTCGTTTTTCTTGCCTAGACCAAAATTAAGTCTGCAGCTGGAATCGTCCATTTCGTTAGAAAAACGTGCAAGCCCACAAATTGTATTCTAGCAACCCAATACTGAAGATACTATCACACATAATATTATTTTCCAACTTAATTACTTGATCTTACAATATAAGATATCTTAACTATGACACCAGTAGATTGCCAGACATGATATCAGGTACAATTTATTCTTATTTTGCTGTTTATTTTAGCCTGTTAGTAATGCTGATTTTATTGTTCCAGTAGAAATAGATGGCACTGTCCACCAGGTTGGTTTACACTTGACAATCTATATTTCGATGACCTTAGCATGGTTTAAATATGTGAGAAAAAATGTTTTTCATGATGATGTACTTTCTTTTTGTAGGTCTATGTTTTAAAAAGACCCCATGTAGATGAATTTTTAAAAAAAATAGGAGAGATGTTTGAATGTATTTTATTCACAGCTAGTTTGGCAAAAGTAAGTTTCAGTGCATTTTTTAAAAATAAAACAAGAAAATATCGTAACACCATAACATTTCTCCTTGACAAATAAAGTTGTCGGGCATGACACCAGAATAAAATGTCTGTGGTACAGGGGCATACTGTGCCTTAATAGGAATAGCCTTATTAATTTAAGGGAAGTTAATATGTAATTACTTTTTTCTAGTATGCCGATCCTGTAGCTGATCTTTTGGATAAACACGGGACATTTGTATGTAGACTATTTCGAGATTCATGTGTATTTCACCGAGGGAATTATGTAAAGGTTTGTCAAATATATTTTTGCACACACAAACCTCTTCGACCTTTTCTTCACTTTATCTGTGCATCAGATGTTACATATGTACACAGGGCTTGGAATAACGTTCCCAAAGTTCCCAATCATGGTGATCGGCAGTCATGACTTTCCCTGCTTTTTCAGGTTGGAAACCCTGCTTTTCCACCGATCATAAGCAATTTCCTACCGATCATTGATCGGCTGTTATTTCAAGCCCTGGTACACGACAGTAGATTAAAAATCTTAAAGATTAAAAATCTTTAATTAACACATTGAGCAAGTGCTCTCCCCTTGACAAGTAAAAGTGTCTGTCATTAGGCAGAGTAAAGTAATAAAGTAAGGTGCAATGCAACTTAACAAGCACATGGGCAGATAGTGCGATTAATTAACCCATTGAGCACGAGCTGTTTCCCATTGACGAGTAAAATTGTCTGGTGTTAGTCAGGGCAAAATAATAAAGTAGGGCGCAATGCAACTTAGCAGGTTAAATATTGGCCTGGAAAACGAGAGACAAGTTTTAAATAAACAATAAATCATTCAATCACCTTTAAAATTTTTATGTTTTTAGGATCTTAGCAAATTGGGACGGGATCTAAATAATGTTGTCATTATAGACAACTCACCTGCGTCATATAGTTTTCATCCTGAAAACGCTGTAAGTATTGAAATGCCAAATCTGGCATCACTTTTAAAAATGATTACTGAAATTTTTTTTTATATAAACATATTTTAATAGTTTTTTTTTTGCATTTGCCCAAGAGCACAAAGGCTCATCTATAGGGCTCACACAACATTTACATGATTTTTGTTACACACTCTATACAATATTAACCAACAGATATAACACACAACAAAAAAGAAATAGAAGAAATTCTGCAGAAATAGACGGGTTTCAGACTGACTTATAACTCAGACTAAGAGAAACGTTTAGTTAGTTTTATATACAGTTGAACATATTTAAAAATAAATTGATTCTCAGAATAATTCAGCTGTGGAGATCCACGTAGAAGTATATTAACTTTACGTGATTCTGACAAAAAGAGAAAGTCATCGCCATAGACTTGTGCAGCATTTGAGAGTAGGTTATGTCTTAGAGGCATTTGAGAGTAGGTTATGTCATACTGAATGGTTGTCAGTTGTTAATTAAATTCTTCCTCTAGATTCCAGTTGTGTCCTGGTTTGATGACTATAACGATACGGAGCTACTGGAATTAGTACCAGTGCTGGAAACGATAAGTAACGTTGATGACGTTCGGGAACAACTGAAATATCTCAATCATAACTCACCATATAACTCAGGACTATATTATTTAAATGGTCAATAACTAGCTCAAACCCAATTATCGCTGCTGCTTCTGGTGAAATATCCAGTTTTATGGACGAAAAGCTCAGACCAGACCGAGCTGCATCCTTGTCTCTTATTTGATGAAAAGACCTGGGCCAATTGTTTTGGAAATGTTGGCCTAAATGGACCAGTCCGTTTGGTTTGATCCAAATTTTCCCAGTCCGTCCAAATCCCAGAGCTGTGTATCAATGAACAATTTGATCGAAATGGAAAGCACCTTTCATATAACAATTTTTACAGCTCGTTACAAAAACATTCACATAGATAGCCTTTGAAGAATCAAATATCAAATGTGTTGAGTAAATCAATAAGGGTGCAAAGTATAGCTTGCAGCAGTAGTATATAGTTCATATAGAATCAGAATTTCGGGTGTAATCATTTCTAGACACTAATATTTTTGTACCTGTGTACATCTCAAAATTTTGAAATGATATTTTAACACTGTGAAATTTTACAACAAACTACGAAAATTATTACAAAGAACTGACAGAGTTGAACAATGTTTCAATTTCTCAGTTGGGCAGACACATGAAGACAATTAATTCTGAACTATATGCAATTGCGATCGAATTCATGCAGAGGTGTGAGTGCATGGTTCCAAATTCATGCGGACACAGGGGGCGTAGTTCTAAAACAGTCCCAGGGCCTAATCATACATTTTTACGTCACATGTCAAAAGGCTGTGAATACGATTGCTGTCAGTTCTTTGTGGCATTTTTTTAGTATGGCAACAAGCCTTTCATCAAAAACAAATGTTATTATATGTATTGTACAAAGTAATATTTCTATATATGATTTTTCACAGAGTATTTTTGTACAGACATTTTTAGTGCACATTGTCACAGTACAATGTAGTACTGTGGTGTAGCAAATAATTTCAAACACATTTTTGTATATATTCATAAAATATTTTAATTTTTAATGTAGTGTCACTTGAATTAAGATACTGTCAAGAAATTTTTAATTTTACTTTTTAAAATAAGATATAGCAAGATACCCACTATGTTTTTGGTGTGTTTTTAATTTAATTAATAACCATGAAGTAAAATTTTATCTTGGGGTGCACCAGAGGGGGTCCACTGGGACCAATATTTTAGGTCCAGCCAGAGTTTATTCAACCATATATGGTTATATGCTACTTGGTCCGATGTTCGTGTAAGCATTTTATTCAAAGAATATATATTAACTTTATATTCTCTTTTCTAATGAAGACAGAGTTCTGGTTATGGCCATGCTTTTTTCCATCAGTTCCAGCCAGAACCATGTTCTGTTCCAGGACACCCCTAATTTTGTCTATTGTTATGTTTTATGGTGAATACTGCAAAAAATTTTTTTGGCTAAATTACTTGCATCTTTTAGTTAAGGTGAAGTTTCTTGCAAAATTTGGGAAGACAAGTTCGTCAGAATTTTTGGTTTAGCTAATTGGCTTATTAAATTGTTACATAAAGACAAATTGTCCATCAACCTCGCAAGCCAGGGTCTTTACCCTGGCTTGCGAGGTTGATTGTCCATTTAATAATTTGTCCGTGCGCGCGCGCGTGGTTTTTTTTCGTGAGCTCGCGGTGTGCCGTGCAACCTCAGTGCGTGCAACACGCTAATTCCGACCGTTTCCGACAACATCAACATAAAGTATCCGTTTTATTTAAAAAGACGACGTGTACGGTGTACAGTACAATATGGCGTCGAAAAGGAGTGAATGGTTTTCAATTTTGAAGTAAAATTTGGTTGTACAGTTTGTTCAGCGAAGATGGCGGAAATGGAGACCTTGTATAAACAAACTAACAAGTAAAACAGGCAATTTATTTTGGGAAGGAATATATTTTTATTAGTATTTTTTTGTTCTGACAAGCGTCACAGTGATATAAATATATTTTTGATATCACTTGCTCAGCTGTGCTACGATTGTATTACAATACTGTATTTCCTAAAACTACAACAAAATTAATAGTGCAGGAATTTTATTCTGTCTGATAACAAGCTCATCATGTACATGATATGCAATGTATACAACAGAGTTGAATAGTCTAAACTGCTAATATCAGGGCTTGAAATAATTTTCTGAAAGTTCCTGATCATGGTGATCGTCAGTTATGACTTTCCCTGGGTTTTTTTTCTGATTTAAAACCCTACTTTTCTGCCGATCGTTAACAATGTCTTGCCGATCAATGATCGGCTGTTATTAGAAGCCCTGTATTACTGCAGATTCAGGTAGACCATTAAATGCGTATAGTTGCTGCGTTAGTTTTAACGGTTGTACGATGACGTTTCTAGGCAGATTGTCAGACGTTTCTAAGGCGTGGCTTCAACATTTATTTTCAAAATTTAAACGTAATTACAAACGTCTGAAAATCTGCCTAGAAATGTCATCGTACAACCGTTAAAACTAACGTGACAATTATTCGCATTTAACGGTCTACCTGAATATTTGATATGCCGAACATTGACCCAAACTTACATAGTTACTATTAAGAATCAATTGTTTCTAGATTAACCTTGGAAATCCAAGGACTTCTTAACCGACTGGCTACGAGTAGGGGAGGAGATGCAAATGGTTCGTATAGAGTTTTAATTATAAATGATTAACACTAATTCATCAACAATAATTGGTGACTCATTAGCAATAATTAAATTAAGGACAGGGTTCATTAATATTTTTTGTGTCTGTGAGCAAAATTCATCACTTCAAAATATGCTTGCCAGAATGCATGTTGAGCTAAATATTGTTGTAAAGTCTGAATTTGAGAAGCCACGCTTCTACAAATTATGCCTGATTAAGGAATCACTTCACATAATACTGTTAACAAAATGAACTGTTGACAATTATCGTGTTTAGATATTGAGAACCAGATTGAATCAAACCTACAAACAATTGGCACAAACTGTGAAAGATTGAACATTTTAGTAAATAAAGAACCAGCACACAGAAGACAAAATTCTAAAATGTAAGCAGCATAACAAGGGTAATTTATGACTTGGTGAACCTTTGCCTACTGTTACAGTACTAAAATATGATTCAATAATCCTTGAATATAAATCTGTACTTGTTGTAATTGTATTGAGAATGAATAATAAATAACTGCTAATGAATCATTGTCCATTATTACTACTAATGAATGGTCAACAACAAATGTCCACTACAACTAATGAATATCCAATACTAATTGACCAATAATATTGTTAACAAATTACAACCAACAAATGTCTAATATTACTAACAATTAACCAATTCTACTAACAAATGACAACCTACCGAATGTCCAATACTACTAATGAATGTCCAATACTACTAATGAATGTCCAATACTACATGTGCTAATTAATAATTAACACTACTAACAAATGTCCAAATTACTACTAACGAATGTCCAATTAATCTGATATTCTAGGAAAGTTGACCAACTAATTTACGACCAGCGTCATTTGGAAGCAGCGTTGAGAAATTACAGACAGAAACAAATGCTACAGGTGCCATAACATAACAAGAATTTTTTTTTTGTAAAAAAAGTATATTTATTTAAAAATTAGTTTTGATTTTTTCAGAAAAAGGAAGAGCAGGAAAGAGAAGAACTATTACAGAGAAAATTTACTGCAAATGTTAGTTGTTTGAAATTATAATTATTATTTTTTACTTTTCCACCTAGATTGCACTGTTTACAAGGCCTATATAATATATTGAGATTCTCACCCATACCCTATACTGCCATCACCAAATATATATGCAAAAACTTGTGGTTAGAGCTCAACAACTGGACTCTGTAGCTCAGCTGGTCAGAGTGCTGCACCAGAATCGAACCTGCGGCCCTGTGATACGGGTGCAGCACTCCTGGTTAGTTCTAAAACTGTATATAATCTTCCATTTGAAATATCCATCTAGTACAAAAACCCTTCAGCTGTTAGGCCTATATGTACTAAACATTTGGTGCGTCAGAATGACCAAAATAACGAAGTGGGTTAATTAATATGAAATTGCACCTGAAAGTGTTCTTCCATTGTTATAGAATGGAGATACATCAATCATGATCGACCATGCTCTACAACATAACTCGAGCTTACACAATGCATCTCAAGGAGTCGATGATCTCCTCGGGAGTGGGTCGAGTATACTCACAAATCTTCGCGAACAGAGAATAACATTGAAAGGCGTACACAAAAGAATTCTCGACATTGCGAGCACCCTCGGTCTTTCTAATACATTGATCAGACTAATTGACAAGAGAGGCACTCAGGTATTCATAGCTAAGTGATATAACACTGAAATGTTTATAAGGAAATTAAGCGCCAGCACTCTCCCCTTGACGAGTAAAATTGTCTGGTGTTAGACAGAGTAAAATAATAAAGTAGGGCGCATCAGGGCGCAATGCGACTCAATGGGTTAACTAGACACATGAGCAGATAGGCCAGTTAACCCAGTAAGCACCAGCGCTCCCCTTATCGAGTAAAATCATCTGGTGTTAGACATAGTAAAATGATAAAGTAGGTTATATTAAACAATTATAACACCCTTCAAGAAGCAAAACTGTCTGGCACTAGAAAGATATAAACAAAGCAGGTGCAGATTGCAGCTTAATTAATAGATTACTAGTAGCAAGATATAGTCAGAACATGTTGTCTATCATTAGCTACAAATAACTATAGGATGCATAAATCGTGTGCATTGGGCATAGTTTTATCATTATGTCTAACTAAACAGCATTTTTTAATACACTGACTTGGTAATAAAACTGCATTTATAGCTTATTTGTCCTGCTATAATAGTTGACCTGTTTTAAAATATTTGTAACTCTTCTTTTTGTAGGACAAATGGATTGTTTTTGGTGGGATTATAGTCACTTGTATAATTATGTTCTTGGTTGTCAAATATCTAACTTAATTAATAATGATATCTGCTGGCTGTGCAAAAAATCTTTAATGTATGGAAGTTGGACTTTAGTAAAAGTTACAGGGGAACTAAATGAAAAATATTTCAATCGAAATAAGTTGTAATTAGAATTTTATTAAATTTATGCAAACATTATTTTGTGTATAATTTTAACATGCCAGTGCCAGCATTGACCCAGTACTGCAAGCATACTTTATAATTTTTTTAAATCTTTAAAGATTATAAAATTGTGAAAATCTTTCATTGATTGACATGTACGAGTGCATGATTATTTATACCCTTAAATTTTCCATTGTGGAATATTATAAAAGTACTAATTAATAATTAAGGATCAACATATATAATGTGAAACATGCCTGAAAATCATCCTGAATGAAAGCCACTTTACTACCATCCTCTGACTGGTTTCCATTCCTCTAGAACTGTGTCTCCATCATGGACATAATACACTGGATGCATCGCCGCAGTTGCACATGCCTGGAAAGGAGAAACTGACAAAAGTCAAATCCATGTAATTTTTCTTTTAGACAATCAAACATGGAGAAAACCTGTGTTTTTTAACCCATTAAGTTGCATTGTGCCGTATTTTATTATTTTACTCTGCCTAATGCCAGACGATTTTACTCGTCAAGGGGAGAGTGCTGGCACGCAACAGGTTAATTCATAGATTCCTGGTAGCTCATCAAACTGAAAACACTCTTTAATTTAAGTCTAACAAAAAATATCCTGTAGTTCTCTCTGTGACCCTAATGTTTTTTCAATGTGGTTGCAGTTGTATGTTAACATGTAATACGAAAACAAATTAAAAAATCCCCCCCCCTACCTATCGTAACTTTCTCACGCTATGAAACCATCTGAAACCATCTGGAACCACAGGAGGATATTTTTTGTTAGGTCTCAGTTAACTCTTACATGTGACTGAGGTGAGATTATAATCAGACAACCGTATGTTGTAAGAATCAAACCTCGGGCACAGAAGTGAGAGGCACTCACTTACTACTCTGCCATCAACACCCATACTGCTAAAACTTACATGGTGAGGCAAGATCTTCAATGTTGAACCAATTGGATATTTGGAAAAATCAAGTTTACCATCTACGGCCACAACTGTACCAAGCTCTTGTGTCATTTTTTCCAGCCTGGAGATATAAACTGATTGAGTGAATAATGTAGGCTAAAGCTATCACTTTTTAAGTAGACCTTTGGAGACCCCATCTTGAAGGGGACAAGTAAGCTTCTGCATCATGCTTTCACTTACCGTATTATCTCTCCCATGTATCCACTTCTGTAAAGGGTTGCCAAGAAGAGGGGGGGGGATTTGCCCCAGGCTATGAATAAGTATTAGTGCTATAAAGTTGCTTCAGAACTTACTTAAGGTTAGGTTCGCCCTCAAATACACAGAATCCAGTAGGCAATTTACCGAGACTATCCAAGGTCAACGCTAACCAACCACAGTCTATTAACATGTGACCACTATCAGGATAATGTGAGATGATTCTCGTCAACACTTTGCCAGCGATGTCATCTTCTGCACATGCTCCAAGGTTTGCTTGAGTCACATCTACAAAATTTTTGCAATCAACCAATTTAATTGGTTTTATAATTACCTTGAACCATGCAGGGTTTGTTCAGTACTACCTACCATAAAAGACATAATTCCCAGGATGAAACTCCGTAATGCCTTCAACAAACTTCGGATCTGGTGGTTGAGAACATGAAGGCGTGGAACCCACACCAACATTCTTACACTCAATTCCTTTGGCTCTGATTCTATGAAATACCTTGCTGTTAGTAACTGTACTGTGTTGATCTCAAACTAAGTTTATTTATACTGCATAACTCTATCAGGCATTAAGGTGCACAGGGGGGATTAGGGGGGGTGCATGCATATTGCCCCACCTATCCAAAATATTTCTCCATGCCAAATTTCCAAACATTTTCGATGGGGTTTAAAATTTTTCCACCACATCACATATCTGTTGCTTTTTGACTATTATCATTTTTTTGCCCAACTTACATTGAAAAGTGCCTAAGAGAAAACCTGTGCTGTCTCCAGTGTGATCAACATGTATCATTCTTACCTACTAGCACAATCAATAAGCTTCCCCCAGGCTACAGACGATGAATTCTTGATTTTTTCAGGACCATGACAATGGTATGAAGCACCATAATGGGTGTAGATGCCGGCAAATTCAGCATTGGTTAGCGATGATATCTTTTCAACCATTTTTAATGCTTCATCACTATTGGTTGGTACGCCATCTTAAAAAAAAACCTTGGCTATTACCTATTTACACCCATGAACATAGGTTCGTGGTTCATAAGTTGTTCAAACCAAAAAGAATTGTTTTGTATATTTGAAAACATTATTCAAGACATTTTAAAAACGGCATATTTCTTCCCATTTCAACAAATTTAATATGTGCCACTTTTGCCTTCGATCACATACCAAAAATCATATTTTGGATTTAAAGTGGTGCTCTAACTCATTAAGCTGCAATGCACCCTAACCTGTCTAAGGGACCGGTCATTATTTATGGAAGAGGGGAGGGGAATTTTTTCTTTCCTAAATTTTGAAAATTGAAAGCCTCCCCTCCCCTTAAAAGAGCAGAAATTTTGACCACCACCCTGCATATTAGAATATTTTTCTTTGACCCCCCCCCTCCCCATTTTCATTTTTACTCGTCAAATGGGGGATACACATGTGTAATAGTGTTAATTAACAAAATAAAAATATGGAACTGATAAGTTTTTAATGTCGACCAAAAATATATATTAGAAGAAAATTATAATTTAGTTGCAACATTTGCAACCAAATGGATACCAGGCTAATTAAGCAGATTCCTTAAAATTTAATTCCAACCCCCCCTTATTTTCTTGAAAAAATTTTATAGCCCCCCCCAGTCACTTTCTTTATACATATGCCCCCCCCCCTTTTGCCCTCCACCCTTCCATAAATAATGACCGGTCCCTAAGACCATACAATTTTGTCATGGGACTACTGTAATTACCTCTTCCATATCCACAATCAACCATGAGTAAAACAGACCATTTCTTGCATGATTCAGGCAAAACATACTTCCCGAGAGCATCAATTATTTCCATGTTATCAACAGCAATGTGAAACAGCTCTAGTTTACTTAAAAATTCTGCACATCTTGGGAGCTTTTCAAAGCTTAATGGATAAGCATAGGTGATATCATCGAAACCATTTTCAAAATAAAACTGAGCCTCAGCCAGAGTTGATACAACAACTTGACGGCGAGTGTTGCTTGTCATCAATAAACCTGCCTCCCTGAAACAAAAATAGTAAAAAAAATATTGGCGAGTATCAGTAAACAATACTCAGGGCCGCTGGTCAACGTCAGAAATGTTGACATTACAGGAGCAAAAAACTAAACTACATCTCAAACATGCACTAGACAGGGCCATTGGAAGCATGCCCATACCCCCACCCAAGTTGCTTGAAAACTGGGGCATGGGGTTGTAAAAAGTTATAAAGTTCATTACAAAATCTTGAACTTTTAAATGCAAAAACTTTACAATTTTTGTGTTGTTTTTGACGTTACTCTGAGTGTATATCCACACCGGGCAGGCTGAACATTTAGTCTGACCATGGTGGGAATCGAACCCGCGACCCCTGGGATACTAGTCCAATGGCAATGCTCTGCCAACTGAGCTACGAAGCCAAGTCTGTTTGAATGTGTGGTATTTCGGAACTAAGTCTAGTACCTTCGATACCAATGTGGTCTATGATCATGATGTTTGTGTGTGTTTTGATGTTATGTACTCAGGTGAATATAATGAATACAACTTTAATAAAAAATTTTCTCAGGCAACAAAAAAATTGCTGTATTTTTGACGAGCATACCCACAGACACCCTCGGTTAACCCAGGGTGCATTCTAAGTGCAATATACCGAAGTGATAAATTCTTTGAATGTTTGCATGGCGATAAAATATAATTGTTTTTGTTTGTGGAAACACCACGTAAATTTATTACTGCAGTAATAAATTTACGTGGTGTTTCCACAAACAAAAACAATTATACCGAAGTGAGTTTGGCACATATTTACAATACTATCTATAAACTTAGTTAGCCCCCCCCCCCAACAATATGCTCCATATACATATATAGGGGAAATAATTAACATAACTTTCTCACTCAGACAAACACGGTTGACCACCATCACTGCATGATTAGTGTAACTAGCTATCTATAGGTAATAGCCCAACATTATTATTAGAAATCTATTTTTATATAAAAAAAATTGTACATAGGGAAAAATTCATTAAAAAAAAAAGGTGGCTTAAAAAAACAAACAAAAAACTAATATATTGCAAATATCCAAAACTTACAGCGTTTTGTGTGTTTTCATATGAGGCCTCAACTTTACACCAAGGGAGTCACATCGTTGTTTCATACGCTCACAGTTTCTCTTCACTTTATTGACATCAACTATAAACGAAGGAGATGGCAATTCCTCGAGCTTTCGTCCTTTAAAACTCATCTTTGAAACTTTGGAGTATGTAAAAGTAACAAATATGCAGCAGTGTTTTGGAACTGTGTTTTTAAATTTCCCCCAGGGCATCAACCACAGGGAGCCCAAACATAGCCTGTGCAGCAGGACCACCTGCGCACGCAGGCTAGCTTGTTACAGATGTTACAAATCTGTTCACAAGCTGTTGACAAGTTGTCTTCGCACTGCTTGTTCCCAGTTGTTGTAACAAGTTTGGAACAAGCTGTTGACAACTTGTAACAAACTTGATGGCATTATCAGACTTGTTACAAGATTGTTCTAACAAGTTTGATACAGACATGATATAACAAGAATGTTACAAGTTTGACCAAACAAGGTTGTAACAATATTGCCATTATCATGACTGTATCGGACATGTTCGAACAACCTTGCAACAAGTACGATAATATCAACAAGGCGGTTACAAGTTGTTAACAGCTTGTTCCAAACTTGTTGACAACTTGGAACAAGCAGTGCGAACACAGAATTGCTACAAGCTTGATGGCATTATCAGACTTGTTACAAGGCTGTTCTAACAAGTCTGATACAATCTTGATATAGCAAGAATGTTACAAGGTTGACGACACAAGGTTGGAACATTATTGTCATATCATGACTGTATCGGACTTGTTGGAACAACCTTGCAACAAGTTTGATAATATCAACAAGGTTGTTACAAGTTGTTCACAGCTTGTTCCTAACTTGTTGACAACTTGGGACAAGCAGTGCGAACACACAACTTGTTGACGGACTTGCTACAAGATGTGAGATTTTTACGGCTTGGATGAAAATACTACGGCTGGCATTATAAGATGTCAGACAATTATCGCAGCTATTTTGTACAGTAGATTATATATTTACTATAAAAGCCAAATGAAAGAATAGATGTCATTTTGCAACTGGTTCAGTACAATTTTTTAAGGTACTGACTTTGTAACTGTCGACGTTTGACCAGATTCTTAATGGGCCCTGATTGTCTCAACCAGTTATAGACCGTCAGCGTTCTCGTCTGCTAGCCAATGAAATGTGTGAGCCAGGGTATTAGCTAGAGGGCCGTGTTGGCCGTGTTATCGCGGCCAAAAATGGGAAAACACGGCTAGATAAAATAAACGCGGCTTCATTATTTATATAAGGCCGAGTGTAGGTTCATAAAATAAGGTGTTACTGCTTACAACAGACAGAATTTCTTCCTATTTACGTCATAAGAAACTGGGTTTGTAAAATCTACTGTAGTTGTTGAAATTGGCAAAACTGATCCGTGGTGTTTTAACGTTTTGATGGGTAATGGGAACCTTATGGTGTTAAAATGGGTTTTTTAGGGTTTTTTAGGGTTTTTTAGTTTTTTTTAGGTTTAGATGTAGGTAATGAGAACCATATTGGTGTCCTAGTAATAATTTTATGCCACAACAGTCCCTAAATGTTAGATGAAAAAATGTAGTGTGAAATATGATAGGGTAATGGCCTGGTTTTTTAGGTTTAGATATAGGTAATGAGAACCACCCCCAAGATTCTGGGCCCGAGAGTTGCTGAAATAACTTAATATTTTAATGTCAGTGCGCAATATGAGTGCATGCTCGCCTTGTATTTGGTTGCAAAGCATAGAACAACCACACGCATTGTCTGTTGTTGGCGCGAGCATAACTAGAACCGTGAATTTGGCTATTCAAGGTAATTGACATGTGCACACCCTGGTCATTTCGAAACACGCCCAAGATCTAAAATCCTAGCTAAGACCCTGGTGTGAGCCAGGTACACACGGTAAAAATCTTACAACTTGTCAACAAGATGTGTTCGCAACAAACTTGTAGCAAGCTTGTCAACAAGTTGTAACAATGCTGTTATTTCATCAAGTTGCTACAAGGTTGTCACTCACAAAAGTTGTTATCGTCCTGAATTGCAGGACGATAACAATTCGTTGGAACAACTTGTAACGAGTCTGTTGAGCTCAACAACCTTGTGGCAAGTTGTCAACAAGCCGTTGACAAATTGTCAACAAGCTGGGAACAAGCAGTGCGAACACATCCTGTTGACAAGTTGTTGGAACAGCATTGCTACAAGTCCGCTGCAGGTTTGTTACAACTTGTGCGTTTTTACGTGCGTACTCCTACATCTTTTGGAGATCCTACATCTTTTGGAGATCCCTTCAGGTCTTTATAAGGATTTATATCTACTCTCATAAGTCAGAACCTTTCCTGGTTGGCTATCAAAACAACTTAAAAAGATATGGCAGCAACAATGTTTGTAAACATTGGTTACTTTGCATGTACGCCGCTAAGCTATTTAAAACGGGTATAATCTATTTTAAATGTTTTTATCAAGCCGATATAAACTAGCGAATCTACATGTGCGACTTCGGCCCGATCATTTAGGATAAAATACAATCAGTCAGAATAATTTTAAAAGTTTTCGATGTTTCAATTGTACTGAATAAAAAAATAAGAAGAATTAAATGCCCACAGTAGAATGCAAATATTTTCAATGCAAATTTAAAAGTATCAAGCCTGCGTGTTAAATTTTACTAATTTTACTACTTGATGAAAAACGACGCGCTTAACTGGAAAACAGTTTAACCATGAAAAGCTTTTGCCATTTTTTTGCTAGTGAAAAGTAGTCCATGCTCACCGTTTTTCTGTGAGCGCATGATTTCCTGGTCTTGTGGGTCCAGCAGAGTGCTGGGGCATTCAATTTCTAACAATACGTTATTTCAATAGTTTTGGGGTTTTTGGGACACCCTATCGGAGTGCAGCTCAGACTTGCCATTGCTCGTATTGGCAAAAATTATGCTTTATTGTTTTAGAACAATGGGTTGTCATTGTCTTAGAACAATTGACTAATATTGTTCCAAAACAATGTTTATATAGTTTTTCACTCAATGGTTATATCGCCAAAAAATCAATGCAGAGCTTTACTTCCAACTTTGCCGGACAATAGTAGGTCATTGTTTCAAAACAAACATTCTTTTGTCCTGGCAATTGTTTTAGGACAATAGTCTATCGTTTTATTGTTCCATTGTTTTATCGGTTTGAAAAAGCGGTCGAAAAAAGTTCGATTCAAATTAGCCTTTCTCACGGCGCCATTTTTGAGTGGCTTTTCAGCCGAAGTCTGCGAGATAAGTCCATATAACAGCGAGTTTTTAAAATGTTTTGGACGAATGATGGTAAATTTGCTTTGTAAATGATTAGTTTATTTTGAAAAATTGGTTTTCACATTGTTTTAATTGTCTGCATTGGTAAACGAGAATTAGATGCCACCCAAAAATGGCGGAATTGCATGTCAGCTATTCAGTATAATTGTCAACTGTCTTCGCTGCCTAGCAACTAATAAAATTTTCCATAATTAATATATATTACAATGATATTCACAGAGGACGGATTAATTCCTGCTGGGCAATTGAGTTAAAAAAGTTTTTTTTAAATTAGAAGAACCGTGGAATTTTCGAGCAAAGGGAAATTCTAAAAGGTTACGAAAACTCCTAGACTGCCGGGGGCGTTTGAAAAACAACATGCCTGTGCAAATTAAGTATTGTTTCGAAAAAAAATCACAATATAATTGCTACAAGACTCAACAATAATTGATACATTCCCAATTCTTAAGCAAATGCGCTGACGTATATATCGATATCAGATGGAGACATATACGAGTGTTATCTGCCCTGATATAACACCTGGGCGATTATTATTTTGCAAAATACCTGTTTCGGCAAAATATTTTTAAGACACACAGCTAATATTAAAGTCCTTAATTTCACATTGTCAAATCTCCTTAGCTAACTAAAATTATATGTAGGTCTTGCAAATAGCTTAAGAATATTTCAATAATTGTTCCGATTTGTTTAATTACAATCGAAACCTGCTGTTCTCGTTGTTTGTATATTTCCTTGGAAACAATTACCTGAAGCGTTCATATCAATATTAATATTTAATACCCTTGTCAACAATGCTGCTAATTGCATTGCAATGGAAGTGATAAAGACGTCCAATATTGGATGGGCGCTTTTGCGAGGCCTCGGGGATGAGAGCTGACTGAGTTGCACATCAGATCCTAAATATTCCAATGGAAATGTTACTACTCCTTGTGCTAATTTGTGTTACAACATTTGCTAATGGCAGAGGTACGATGATTGTTTTCTGTTTGTTGCCAAGTTGGTATAACTTGGACACTACTTTAATTCTGAACACATGCAATAATTTAGGACACTGTGTTCGAAAATTTAATATAAAATGCAATCTTCAACTATCAAATGATGCATGCAATACTAAATAAATACATTAATACTAAATTCTGTTACTGCCTAGAAATCATTCAATAGGTTTGCTTGTCCCGATTGCCAATGACTACGTCTACGATTTCAAAAATTGCTGAGATTGATATAGAAAGGCATTTTTGGTTTAAAAAAGATAGACTTTATATCAAATCAATTTGAAAATCCGAGCTCGGCATATATTGTCCTAAACTGCCTTAAGTTGAAATCAGAAATCAACATTTTGATTTTTTCATCCAACATAGGTCAGACTACTGTCGTACTGACCACATCAATGTTAACGGTTAAGATACATCAGGATGCATTTTTGTCGGTTTCCGCGCCTAATGAAACCAGGACTTTCTCTACATTTTTCGAAACGTTTTTCCTAACATTTATATTTTCTACTACTTGTACAGTACGTGTACAACAAATTCGTTATCATTATCAAGATTATTTGTCCTCGACAAATTTTGGCTTCCTAGCTTCGACGATAGCTACAATCATCAACATAACCCTTGAGACCGTTCCAGCCTATATTGCAAAGTTAATGCACACTGACAAAACAATTTTCTCATCTCCTCTCCCCAGTTCAATGTTCTAAACAACGCCGAAACAACTTTTGGTAATTTACCACGACACACGCTCAACATTGAGTTGGGGGAGAGTTGGCTTAAGAAGCGAAACATGCATGATTCAACATGAAATTTATCATAAGGGGTATACGGATTTTGTATAGAGGGAAAGGTACAGTCTCAACCATGCAGTACATGTCCAAGATGGTAGCTTTAGTAGTAAATTGGTGTAAGTAGTCTAGATTTGGAGTATCTCGCTCGATAGACAAAATATTGAAGTGTTTTTTGTAGATAGAGATTTCGAACAACAACTTCTGATAAGACGAATGCAATTTGTCCAAGCTTTGCATTCATGCATTTACTTAAAAATGAAAACATGTTTGATATTCCTAATTGCCATGAACGAATAAACTTCAACTTACCCAAGCTTTTTATCTCTATCATCCAGTGGCACATGAATACGTCGGATGTTATAAAGACACCACTACTCGAGCCATGCCCGTAGCATTACCAAGGAGAACCCCCTTGATTGATTGTAAGAAGGAAGCCGCATTTCGAGGTTATACTGTGTTTGGTATCCAGAACGGTATTGAATGTTGGTCAGGTCCGAATGCACCAAATACCTATGATAAATATGGAACATCAACTGCATGTAAGAACGGCGAAGGAGGTCCTTGGGCGAATGATGTGTATCGCATTACCTCAGGTGAACTGAACTAACTTAGTTATAGCTCCGTCAGTTCTCAACTAATCTTTCTGGAGGTATACTGGATAGCTCTACCAGCGCTAAACTGCTCTTCCTAGAGGTCCTGAGTATAAGCTCAATCCCTTGTTGATCCAGTGTTATTACTGCAGGAGGAAACCTACCCAGTATAAATATATAATTAGTTTCGATCAGCTCTAAACTACTCTTTCTAGAGGTCCAGTAAGCTCAATCCCTTGTTTATCCAGTGTCACTGCTGTAGAAACCTAACCTAGACTAACTATATATTTACACTGAATAGCCCTATCAGTTCTAACTTCTAGAATGCTAATCCAAAAGGTCCAGTAAGGGCTATCTTTTATTGATCCAGTGTTACTACAGGAGAAAACCTAAGCCAAAGTGATGTCTTGTATTGGATATCTCTGTCAGTTCCAAACTGTTTTCCTAGATGTATTCTTTATTCCTCCAGTGTTACTACAGAAAAAAGTACACTAAACTAACTATATACTGGATAGCTCTAAAAGTTATAAACTGTTCTTCCTAGAGGTCCAGTAAGGGCCATCCCTTATCAGTGATCAGTGTTACTACGGCAGAAAACCTATAAAACTACACTAATTTCATATACACTGGATAATTCTTATATCAGTTCTAAATTGTTCTGCCTAGAGGCTCGGTTCGTATCTTACTGCATGGTCTTGTGTTACTGTACTAAAGCAGGAGAACGGTAATCCAGGAAATAACTTGCGATGTTTGGCCGGTAGAGTCAAACTGGAAGCACAGACTCTTCTCGCATGCATCTGAAGCGAAAGTATAATCAGTTTATTGTAGAATATTATATAAAGTATAGTGCTTTATAGAGATTTCGAGCACTGATAAAAGTGATAATCTCACATGTGAGATTATTCATGATAATCTCACATGTGAAAATTATCGCTTTTCAATTATCGCTTTTCTGTAGAAATTATTGCTTTTCAAAGACTGTCCTTGATATAATATACAGAAAAATACATGGGTGCTTGGAAATACCGGATTTATTTCTCGTGTTGAACATGATATCTCACTCGTTCGCTGCGCTCACTCGTGAAATATCATGTTCAACACTCGAAATAAATCTGGTATTTCCGCGCACCCATGTATTATTCTCTATTTGTGCACTATAACTACCGATCTTTGTGTTTTCACAATATTTCAGACAATGCTCAGTTGGCAGGGATATTGGAAGACGTCATTTCAAATGCAGCCAGTATTGATGATGTTGATGTCGAGGTACGATTACTTAAGCCTCACGTGGTCTCCAAGTAACAGCTAGTCAATAATAATGTGAAATAGGTTGGATCTCATGATAGAGTGGAAGAATTTTTTTTTACGAATTGAAAGTGCAGAATCATTTGCTAAAAGGATTCTAGAAAATTTTTATAGCATTTTCATCATTACTTTTTTCAAAAAACCGATGTTTCACCATAGAATGAAGAAACTCAAAAAAAATGTCACACATTGAAATTTTCCCACAGAACTAAATTTTTCCAATCATTAATGATAAATGGATCTACTCACCTTTTAATCACTTTCATCATTCTCTTTTAGGCTTTCGTATCACAATCAAGTAAATTGTTAAATCTGTCAAATTCGGAATGGAAAAAAGTAAGTAACTGTGGGTTTCATGCTACGGTGAAGACCATACATGTTAAACTAGTTTCATATTAATCTGACACTGCAATCGAGCAACGAAAAATTCGTTGGCTCGAGCGAGATTTGAACTCGCATCTTCGGGTATCTAGACCGCCGCTCTACCTATTGAGCTATCGAGTCAACAGGGATTGGTAGCGAGTCTTATCCAATTTAAGTGCACGAAATATTTTCGTGACGACTTAACTTAGCGGCGGTCTAGATACCCGAAGATGCGAGTTCAAATCCCGCTCGAGCCAACGAATTTTTCGTTGCTCGATTGCAGTGTCAGATTAATATGAAACTAGTTTTTCGTATCTCTGAGGATGGTTCTGAAATAGAATTCATACATGTTAAACTGGGCAATTTTTTCTACAACTTGCAACGCAATTTCTACCTTTGTAGGAAATTGTTTCTACCTTCGTTTCTTCGCAATTTCTACCTTTGTAGATAATTTCGACTCATGTCATTGCGGCCACATTATGACTCATGTCTGATCACGGAGGAAGGGTCATTTTGGGGCCAACCCACCTCGTCAACTTTCCCTGTGGGAGGAAACCGGGGCACCCGGAGAAAACCACGGCTTTCGGCAGAGCGTTGACTGACTCTTTTTCACATAAGTGTCATGAGTCCACGATCTCAGAGGTGAATTTCAACCCGCTTGCTCTGATGAGTGCGCCACCGAATCGTGTCTTTAACAACTGCTTTAGGAGAACAATACAAATATTGCGCTACTGTAGCCCCTAATAAAGAATAACTGGAAGCTTTCAACCCACATGCGATTGAGGCGAAATTACAATCAGGCTACTGCGGGAATGGAACACCGCTCGCAGAGATGAAAGATATATGCATTGCCATTGAGTTCATTTTGTTTATTTTGTCTTATCAATCACAGAATCCAAAGGTTGCAGATAATTTTCTCTCTGCAACAGAAGGCTTACTGGGCCTTGGCATGAGTGCAAACCAGCCGAAATCTGCAAAGAGTGGTCTCATGGGTAAGTAACGGCTGTTAAACAAGTTTTAGCCCACATGTTTCGCTCGCTACTGTGGCTTTGAGTAAATAGATGAGGATGTAACCTCTCGAGGCCTTGAGGAAAATATCTATCGTGTTTGATATGTTTCACCTCGCAATGAAAAAAAATCTCAACGTCTGCGGATGTTGCGAGTTTAGTGCCGAGCTGCTGCAATTAACTAGCCAATAAGAACCCATAGTTTCTTCACGTGACTTTGGTCAAAATGGCGGGAAATGCGAACGATGTTGCTGTTTTCCCAAATGCATGCTATAGCCATATATAGCTGAACTAACCGACACTCAGCAAGTTTATCTCGTGTGCTGCAGGTTTCAACTAATGTTTCATTCTTTTCTAGTATTTTCCGTCAACAAAGAAGACACGACAAACAAAGAATCATTAGTTTTCCCCGACTATAATGATGCAGCCTTCTCAACGCATTCTTCCACGGACAGTTTTATAGTTCCTACGACCAGCGACACGGCTGCAAGTAAGGGCAGACTGGTTGGAATCAAACTTTTCTAAATCCTCCGCTCCATAAACACTCCGGTTAAAAGTTTTCTGGTTCACCCAGAAATAACTCTATTTTGGGTTCACCTAAAGCCCCGTTTACACTTGCAATAGACCTTTCCCCTTTTAATTGAAATTTTGATCTAGACTAGCCTGAACCTTCACCGTCACGTGTGTATTGTATTTTTGCCAAATCCACCAATAGCAATTTCCAATTTCCCTATTGTTCGAGTCACGGATAGGTAACTTTCCCAAGACATTGCTATTGGTTAGTTGGGCAAAAATACAATACGCACGTGACGGCGAAGGACCAGATTTATGAATAAACATTGACTAACATAGATAACGAGTTATATTGTTATTCTAATGAGTTTCATAGCCATCTTCCCCTCGATAGGCTATGCTCTAAGTAACACTATCCCTCCCCTGATCCTAAAGCCGGTTTTCCACTTCGACCGTATCGTACCGAAACGTACTGGTGAGCATGCGCAGATTGAAAAGAGGTTTATAAATCCACGTACTTCCGGGTGTATTCGCGTATCAAAATAAAAAGTTCGTCGCAAGTCAACTTTTTGGCGTACTACGGAAGAACTAACCAATCAACATTCACGAAATTTTGAAATTTAAAAACGTTTCGGTATACGGTACGCTTGAAGTGGAAAACCGGCTTAACTCCCAACGTAGTACTTGCGTGAAACTTGTTTATGTTATGTTTTGTATATTCTATGTGTTTTATTTCAGCAAATATTGGTGGGTATGTCTACAACAACTTACATGAGAAGCTAACAACATCACTCAACGAAACTGATCAAATGTAAGTCATTTTAATGCCGACTTGTGTACCCGAGAAAATATCCAATAAATGAAAGATGGAAAAGATAGAAGTCAGGAATAGAAAAAAAAGGAATAAAGTTTTAAAGGGTTGGAGCTATTTGCAATGGAAGATTGCAGCTATCGACTAATTTTTGATCTAGACAAGAAAGACGAAATCTATCATTATAGCTCAAAAAATAGTAAAATTGCGAAGTTTGGTTGCGAAATGTTATAAAATACGAAAAATATAGCCCTGTGAAATTAGCAAATTTTGAGTATTTTAGTATTGCGCGCGGAAAAATGCACCACTTTTGAGCCGAAGGAAGGGAGTGAATCACACGAGAAAGAAGACTAAGAAAATATGAAAGAAAGAATAGATAGTGAGTTAACAGTTGGACGGACAATTCGTTTTTACTATTCTAATTTTACAATAAATTTTAGGTATCGTTCTGACCTTAGTCAAGACATTGCATCAAAGATTCTTTCTTGCCAAGTTAATCCACCAATCAAGTTTGGTCTAAACACAAATAAAACCGTTCTCATTACATTAGAACACAATAAGGTAACAATTAAACAGAATTATGACATAGAATTTCGGTAAGATAACTAAACAGACAGCAATGTAATGAATATTTCCTTTTCTTTTAGCCATTTTCAAATGAAGCAACAGCCATCTGCGCATTTTGGAAACATGCCGAAAAGTTAGTTTTGTTGTCTTAGTAACTTAGACTATAGAGAATTAAGCCGGCGTGTGCTAAACTACCCGAGGTTTTTCAGATATTTTAGACACAAACCACGGTAGTTTATTGTAGAATACTGCCTAAACTAGACCTATAAATTCTTCTAATGTATAATCCGAAATTATTTTTTCTAGTAATGAATCAGGTTTATGGTCAACAGAAGGATGCAATGTGATATCTTCAAACAAGACACACACCCAATGTAATTGTACACATTTGACCAATTTTGCCATCTTGATGCAGTACCGCGAAGTCGAGGTAAGAATACATAAAGTAAACTATTTTTATTGTCTAGGTTTTCTTCTGGTATTCCGCGGTTTTCCCCTGGGGTGCCTCTTACTGGAACTCTAGGAATTACTCATAATAAAGCTACTTTAGTATATCAATAAGAGATGGCCTTACTGGGTCTATAGGAAGAACAACTTAGAACTGAAAGAGGTATCCGTTTAGAAAGTTAAATTTAAATTTCCTCCTGTAATAACACTGGAGCAAGAAGGTATATACGTCTCGTAATGGACCTCTGGGAAGAATAGTTTAGAACTGATAGAGCTATTCAGTATAAATAAAGTGAATTTATCAAGATTTCCTTCTGTACTAACACTGGATCGATAAGGTATGTCTCTTACTAGACCTCAAGGAAGAACAGTTTAGAACTGATAGAGCTATCCAGTAAATAAAGTTAGTTTAAGTTCAATTGTCAACTTCTGTGTAAACAACAAAGTTTTGATCATTTTCAGGTGGATGATGGACACAAACGTGCATTGACCATTCTAACAAACGTTGGGTGTTCTTTATCTCTTCTTGCAATCTTTGTCACTGTGAGCATTTACCTCTACTTTCGGTAAGATTCCTAAATTTACTTTTCCAACTTCACCACAAGGATGGAACAAGTTAATTTAAGTTTCCTTCGAACAGAAATGTTTGAATACAGGCCTGCAAATTAGTGCCGGTCATCGGACATTGTCCGTCCAAATTTTACCTTTTGTCCGATCAAAGCTTTTTATGATTGGACATGTGACCGACCAATTTAGGTTGGTCAAATGTCCAATCTCAAAAAATTGATTTTGAACACAATTTCATTATTGAAACCAAAGCAATATAAACGACACTCCTCCATTATTTCCTGGCTGCATTAAGCCGTAAGATTTAATTACAAATATAAATCGTCTTCTTATAACATGGTAGAAATTAAAGTTATGTATAACCTGAACCATAGTTTACTGAAAATGCAGTAGGACTGATAGATTTATACTCAGTTTTAGATGCACTGCAGTGCAGATCAACATGACCGGCAAAAATACATCATGCTAGTATGACAAAAAAACATGAAAAATTTTCCTTCGTCCATTGTCCGAGAAAAACTGCTAAATGTCTGACCACTTTTTGTCTTGATCGGACATATGTCCTTCCAATTAGCAAAATAATTATTTGCAGGACTGTGAATAGTACAGGGTTCTTCCCGTAATTCAAATCTAAATTTTAAGGTCATGCTAAGGACTATTTTCTGTTTTATCCAAACTAAAAAATATTTCACAAATAATATTATGTCTGCTTTTTATCATTTTAGATTACATCGATCAACCAATTTTCATATTCATATGAATCTATGTTTCGCTATTGCATTGGCCCAAATTTTCCTGCTGTTCTCCGTCAAAGGAAAGAATAATGAGGTAAGATAAAATGCACAAATTTTTTTAATATTTTCTCAAATTTTCCTAGTTTGCCCACACGGACATTGTTGCGGAAATAAATTTTGTTGAGTCAAAATTGTTTCTCAAACAAATTCGAAGAAAAATTGTTTACTAAATTTGACATTCGTAATTAGTGAAACAATATTTCCTGGTTTGGCCACCTTCAGCAAAAATGGCTAAGAAACAATGTTTCCTGGTTGGCCCACCTTCGGAAAACACGGCTAGGAAACAAAATTTGCCCAAGGTTTAATTAAAGCTTTCTTATTCAGAGTCTCTGTGTCGCAGTGTCGATATGCCTACATTATTTCTGTCTATGTGTGTTTACATGGATGTTGGTCGAAGGATTACAAATCTACAAGAAAGTCGTGTCTATTTTTTCATCATCTATGAACTTGATTTGCTGTCATCTCATTGGATGGGGTAATAATCTTAATTTTAATCGTTATATAAATCTTAAAAAGCATTAATCCTGAAATTAATCCAAATATTAATCTTAATCCTAAACTTCAAAAATTAATCTTAATCCTAAAATTAATCCAAATATTAATCTTAATCCTAAGTTGAATTCAAATAGTAAATCCTTGAAAATTTGAAGCCAAGTTTATTCTTAATCTGAATTTTAAACCAATTTTAATCTTAATCCAGTATAAACAAACTGTTATCTTACTCCAAAATTCATTATTTCTGACCTTAATCCGAATCTTAAAAAATGAAAATCTTAATCCAGTATAATAAACTCTATTTTTTTGCTTTTGAAGGCACGCCAATCTTAATTGTGTTGATAACTTATCTTTCTCGTAGAGAACATTATACTGACGAGAAAACGTAAGTATAACAGTCAAAGTTACGTCCCAATGTGGACGGCGTGATTGAGTATAGATATCTACAGTACAGACACAGTCAGTAAAGACTGATTTGAAAACAGCATGCAAAAGACACGATACATTCAGCCCATATCGCATTGGTGATCACGACTGGGTCACCACAGTCATGACTGCACGAAATTTAGGATCGTGCCGGTTCACAGGCAGCATACAGTATATTGGCAACATTGCAAACTCAACTTAGCATTAAAATGACTTTTATGATAGACTACTTTATGATAAATATTATCACTTTCAGGTGTTGGTTATCCCCAGATTATGGAATTCGTTGGGCTTTCATTGGTCCTGTCCTGGTTGTTATTATGGTGGGTAGTTTTTTTAAATTGATTAGTCAAATAACCTTAATCACGATAGTCACTGCTAAAATATCATTTTCATTTTTTTTATCATATTTTATATCATATTATATATTTTATCATTTTTTTTATCGTTCCTGTGTATTTGCATTTAGATCAACATCGGTGTGACAGTGATTACTTTACGCAAACGACTGCAGTTGAGAACAATTACTACAAAAGAAATGTCTTATAAACTACGGTAAATCCATAACTGTTCTGTTTTTGCTACTATAGTATAGCTGCCTTGAGTTCTGACACAAACCAAGGTAGCTTACTGTAAAATACAACTTAAACTGGATGCAATCACCGTCTTGCACGTATCATGGAACCTCAGTTAACATAGAATTTGAAATCGATTCTTATATGCCTTTCCGCAGAACGTCGCTACGAGCTTTATTTGTGCTGCTGCCAATATTTGGTCTCACTTGGTTATTTGGAATATTCGGGTTTTCATCAGACGCTGTGGCTGCAATGTATATCTTTGTGATTATGAACTCGTCCCAAGGATTGCTTATGTTTATCTTTCATTGTGCTTTGAATCAGGAGGTAAGAATTTCGCACGACTGATAGAGCATCGATATAGAGCAAAGGCAGGCCTGCAAATTAGTGCCGGTCATTTGTCCGATCAAAGCTTTTTATGAGCGGACATGTGACCGACCGATTTAGGCTGGTCAAATCTTCAATCTCAAAAAATTGATTATTTAACCCATTTTTTATTAATAAAACCAACAAGAAAGCAATATAGACAGCACTTCTTCACTATTTCTTGCTGCATTAATTAAGGTTAAACTGTAAGATTTAATTATAAATCTACATCACCTTTGTTGTGTAACTGGTAGAAATTAAAAAAGAAAAATTTTACTTTGTCCATTGTCCTGGAAAAATTGATAAATGTCCAACCAATTTTTGGCTTGGCCAGACATTGTCCTTCCAAGTAAAATGATTATTTGCAGCCCTGAAAGGTAAAACCTAAACGGTTATCTTCATCTGCTTATCCTAACCTAACCCTAGCTCTGGTCTTGGACATAACGCTTGAGACCAGATTGTTTGTATCTTGCTTAGTTTACAAACTATTTCGACTGAAAAAAGTGAGCTGTTCGCCATCTTGGATTGTTGAGGATACGAGAGAGAGGGGTCACGCTAATTCTTTGTCGTGAGAATAAGCGATCAATATGGGTCCAAAACCTCGTTTCTGGTTGCTGTCTGAAATTTAGAAATGATTAAAAACATTTCAAACAATTTTGAATTGTTACTCAGTCATTCTATAGAGTAGTTTTATATGGTTAACCCAACTCCTGACGTCATCAAAACCATAATTCATGGGAGGTTATTTCGCTGGCCTCAGAGTGACAAGACGTACCAAAGCAACGGTTTTACTAACACTAACCTTATTCCAAACACCAACTCTAACCTTAACCAAACCCTACTCCAAGTTTGTTTCTAAACCAATCTTGAAAAAATGTTTTGACGAAATGTCATTCTGAGGTCAACGAAATAACTTCTTCCTAGTTAATGAGGTCAAGAATTTATAGTCCAAGATAGCGGACAGCTCATTAATTTCGCTCTAAATATTTCGAGAACTAAGCAAGATGACAAAAAGGTTTAAAACCAAATCAGAATTTTTAGGCATGTACACTCCATATAACCATGAATTATAAAATAAATGGATAGGAAACTAGCTGACGTGACCTAATGTTTTCAATGGACTGATTGCGTGGTTGGATGTTGAAACCTAGTTGCAAACAAAAATCTCAAGAACGGCATGTTTAGCAATAATACAGCTAAACATTTTAGTCAACGAGCAAATAAATATAACTACGCCATTCTACGATTTAGCAAATATTTCAAGCACTAAACATTGAAATATGCATCGCAAATTTCGTTAAAATTGGCGACGCCAATTTCGTAGCTACAAATGTAAAAAAATACAAAACAAAGACGAAAAACATTTAACTATTCACTTTGTCGTGGCTTAGGCATGTTTTTAAAACAATTAGACCAGTTTATGCTTCAATATTACTCTATTAATGCGGAAAATATAGCGAAACAACAAAAATGCTGAGAACTTTGCAATACGCGTGACGTTACAGATTGCAACTAGGTTTAGACTGTGACGTCAGGAAGTTTCCTATCCAGTTATTTTTCAATCCATGATATAACTCATTTGTAGGAGGATTGCATTTTCTGCAACTGCTTCTGGTTAGATTTAACAAATGTATAAAATCCACACTCGCAATTTCCATCTACAAAATCTTTCTTTAAAACCAAATGCACGGCTTCAAAAAGCGTCTTCATTTGTTATCCAGGTCCGTAAGATTGTGTTCCAAGGCCGCCAGATTCATACTCGAGGTGGCACGATCTCAACCGGCTCAAACAAACCGCCACTACAAAAGATCCCAAGCAAAAACAGCGAGTATTCAAATAAGGACACAAGCAGACATTCAAGTGCGCGCTCTGTCAAAGAAAATGCGTTGGAGGACGTCCAGCTTACAGACAACACGCTTGGTGTAGAGAACAAGCTTGCCGTAACTCCGCAATCCGCCCAGAATCATCTCGTACCATGAAAAGAGAGATGGTCTTTTTGAAGAGAATTGTTGAGAAGGACTTGAACTGTAGCTCATTGTGTGATATAAGCTAGTTTTAGGAAGCTGTAGAAAGGTTTAAGCGAAGAATTGGAGAACAAAGTTTGACGATACAGTAAACTACTGTGCAACTGGAATTAGAATAGTAGATTTTAAAATTTACTATTCCGTTTGAAGATCCCCTATTTATTAATCAGTTAATGAGCTTGTTCACAGGCCAGTGTGTCTGAAATTTGTGCCGTATCCAGTTAGATCCAACCGGACTTTGCAATTAATTTGAACATATAATCAAATTTCCATTTAAAATTCTTGTATGAACCTTGGGTTACTGAGAGAGAGGACATAGAGGGCAGTGTACCCCTGGCTGATCCAGAACAGATAGGGGTCCCCAATTTGAGAAGGTACCAAAACTGTAATGGGGCTCACCCATCTGAAGATGGGCCCATAATCCTTTAAGTTTTTGGTTTTCTGGGTCACTTGTCCCCCCAAAATAGCACACTGTTTCTGCTATTTTAAACTAATTCACTCCTACAGATTTAAGGGACACTTTTGGCTTTGGCCCTGCAAAATCTGTCAGACATTCTCTCAGCTAGATTACATATGTCATGGATAGTTAAAATAGTATTAACTATTTTCCATGATTACATTGGACATCAAGAGTTATTAGACAAGCCATATTACACAGTATTTTAGAAACTATTAAGCACATGAAGTCGTAATGTTATGTGTTTGGAGTATTTGGGTTATATCCTCATGGTTCACTGACAATTTAAGGGTTAGTGAGGGTGTCCAAGGGGTTTCTAGGGGACAGATTTTGCAATGGGAACAAAAGAGAAAAATTTAGGGGTCAAAGTTTTGGGGTCAAAGTTTTCTGCCGAGCTAACTAATACTCTTCCGAATAAATTATTTTCTGTGTCTGTTAGCATTATGCATTGCCCTAACATTTTCTGCCAGCTAAGCCAGTTCTGAAAATTTTTTTGGGATCCTTGATGCCAGGATCTACCATTATTTCTTGCTAATACAAGAGAACATGGTGAAATATCTCTGGGGAACAAAGGAACACTTGTCAAGGGCACACAGGTGAACCTCGTTAGTGACAGGTGATCCTCGTTAGTGATGGGTGAACCTCGTTAGTGACGGGTGAACCTCGTTAGTGATGGGTGAACCTTCTTAGTGACAGGTGAACCTCGTTAACAGCAGGTGAATCTCGTTAGTGATGGGGAACCTCGTTAGTGACAGGCAAACCTCGTTAGTGACAGGTGAACCTTGTTAGTGATGGGTGAACCGCGTTAGTGATAGGTTGTGGCTCAGGGCAAAATCAAAGTAAAGTACTGAGGATATTACCCACCCATATTTTTCGTCTCACTATATGTAAAAAGTTGACTTATTGCCTACAGTAGTTATCTTGTAGATACAGAAAACATGTAATTTTGTATTAAAGATTAGCGTACAAGTATAAATTTCATGTTGGAATGACTCTAGATAGAAATATTGCTAAAATTGTACTGTACATCTAAGTATTGTAGCTCTTGCACAAAAGAAAATAAATAGATGTTTGCATTTGTTTTTACGCCGATTGTATATAAGTATTCCATTTTTTACCTCTTACAGTTAAATCTATATATATAGACCTACCTAAAATGTTCATGTTTTGTGATTGGCTTTCCGAAACAAAAATTATTATTGTCCGTGACTCGTTCTTTAGAAAGACGATTTCTATAGTTTTATTGTCTTTCATTGTTATAATCAACCAACCATGAGGCTGGATAGTATAGGTAGATGATGACCCATATATGATCCAAGCTCCAGGTTGCTTCCACTAAATGCTATCATTCTCAACAGAGTGAGAAAATAATGTTTAATTGTTTCATTATGTGTCCACAACTTGGAGAAATGTAATTTAATTTTCTCGCTTCTATATTCTTGGTGTGAAAATTATTAACATGTCATCGCTGCTATGTTGCATGAATTTGACAAGGAGATTGCCTTGTTTGTAATCAGTGGCAGCTAACACTTTGCAAAAATATTAGAGGGAGATAAATTAGGTTAGGTGCACCAATGCTTTCATTTTTGAAAGTTATCTTTACAGCTTTGTTAAAATTTTGTTATTCAGCTATCATTCGGAGTGTTTTGAATTGAAGGACAAATCTTACAACTTGTATAACCATTTTTTTTGCAGATTCTTCAGAAATTATTTGCAGTTTTTGAAAAATTTTGCATAGATTTCCAATACAAGAATGTTTGCGCAGGAAATTTTTCCTTCAAAGCCAAAACTGTACAGTCTGGACTGCGACCATTCATAAACATTCTGCCAAAATGCTAGCCTAATACAATAATAATAAACCTGTCCCAAATGCAAAGTCCCAAACACAGATGCCCGATTATTTGCTCCAAATATGCTGCCCAGTAAAAATTATAAACATGTCAATACGATTTATAATATAAAGGCCGTTCATACCCTTTTGGAAACTTCAAACAACAACAACAATATAACCGAAAACATATACAAATTCTTACCTACAGATTTAACTTCACAAATAACCATTTCCTACCACCAAAAACCTGAAACATAATGCACACTTTATAGGTGTTGCCTGTTATAGTAGCCAAAATACACGTGGATATAACCCATGTTTTAACATAGTTTAACGACTTGTATAAACTTCAAATAACTTTAATATATGACTCAATGTGTATAACTTTTTACCTCAAACTTTAAAACCAGAAAAAATTGTCTTCTTTCGCTGAAAATTTGGAAAGAATCTTGTAAAAATTTTCAATCATCAATTTAAAGTCGCCATCTTGTCCTGTGACCCAGGACATTCAAATAAGCCGCGCAAAAATACACGTGCACGTAACATATGCTAATTGCACGTAAAATATGCAAATTAGAACTCCGCGTAAATGAATCGAAAAACGGCACAAAACATTTTCACTAACTGTAAGAATATATATATTTAGAAAAGGTTAACAAACTATATATACTTTAAAAAGGTTGATAAACAAACTCGTCGTAATTAATGACTAATTTCTAGCAAGCAATACATGGATTCTAAATTATTTCCTAACTGGTAACCAGACCCTGTGCGTCCTATGACGTCATAGTTTATTCGTCATCGTCATCCTCTTCCTCCGGGCTCTCATAAGCTTCTTCTTTGAATGATCTCAACACGCACGATGCCACCACTGGTTCTTCCTAAATTGCAAATTACGTACATTGATTTAGCAATATTTATTTAATTCGGATATTATTATCATGATTGTAGCTGAGCGAAGAGTTTGGAATTGCAACGCGCGCATCTTGACATTAGAGAGGTCAAGATACCCCGGTTTCGGTGTACGTGTACGGGTAGCATGATTTTAGTTAGGTGTACATTTTTCGCATTATATCATTGTCTATTGCAAGAAAACAGAAAAAAGTATGATCGAATTACAGACATCAGTAAAACAAGATGACACTACTCGTACCCGTACACCGAAACCGGGGTATCTTAACCTCTCTATTGATAAGGAAGAATTCGCGCCGGGAAAGTTGATCGTGTGTATAACTGAAGAATATTTTACGTACACTTTCTAAGTCTTCCAAGGCTTCTTGTATTTTCTTGAAGTCTTCAGTTGTTACAGAGAGGATATTTCGACCCGACATTTGCATGCTTTGTTTCTGCAAAACAAAATGAATAACTTCATACCAACTAGATCGTATTAAGGCTACTTTTACACTGTACCAGATAGATTAGATTGCAACGGAGAGATGTTATCTCGCTCAGCTTCTGACATTTGTACATTCCGTATCGGATAGGCGCTTTTTCGCGCCGCTACAGAAAGCTATCTGATATAGAAGAGTAAACGTAGCCAAAGCTTCGTTCGCATGGGGCGATGCAACTGGACGAATAGACCTTTCCCCTTTTAAGTGAAATTTTGATCTAGACTAGCCTGGACAAAAATTTCATCACAGCTTGAAAGAGCATCGCAAAATTAGTAATATTCCGAAGTTTCGTTGCAAAATGTTGTAAAATGCGGATGCTATAGCCTTGCGAAGTTTGCCGTTTTTCAGTCATTTTGTATTACAAATGGGAAATTGATAATCAGTTTGATCATCTGATTATCAATTTCCCGTTTGTAATGCAAAATGACTGAAAAACGGCAAACTTCGCAAGGCTATATTA